AGAACCTTCAAACATCCCTGCGAACGACCGGATGTTGGAAGTAAAGATATATTACGTTTTTCACCCACCGATTCACACACGAATTAGGATCTCCGTGTCAACCTGCACAGCAGCACTGCAGGGCGATACAGGCGTCATACCACCTGACCCGAGACGGGCCGCGGGCGTCATACCGAGCGCGTCGAGACCGTGTCCTGATGTGATCTGCACGCGTGAGTCACGTCGGCGTCAAAGGAGCGACGTGCGACCTGTCAGTGCTCTATCTCCGATCGCAGCTGCCTCTGCGCGTCCTGGGGATGTACCTTTGTCGCGCGCCGGAGACGACTCGACGCCGCTGAGATCGGAGATCAAGCTCTGACAGGTCGCACGTCGCTCCTTTGACGCCGACGTGACTCACCCGTGCAGATCACATCAGGACACGGTCTCGACGCGCTCGGTACGACGCCTGCGACCCGTCTCGGGTCAGGTGGCATGACGCTCATATCGCCCGCCAGCGCTGCCGTGCAGGTTGCCACGACGAGGTCGAGCACGCTTCTATACGCTCGCCGAGCCTTCCTTTCCATCCCATTTGGCAGCCTGGGAACGGTGGCGGTCAGAGGCAAAGCATACGAGGGGTGGTGGAACCACATGTCACGGCTACTGCCGGCTCGACCCCACGATAGCCTCCGAATGCTGACTTTGAGGCACCATCATCGGACGATGTCGACGAGTTGGGTCGCTCTCGCGGTAGCCAGGTAGCCCCCCATACTAGTAGCACCGGCCATGGCCGCAGGAAGCTCGGGGGAGGGCGCTGGGAGCAACACGGAGCTCCGTTGGACGCGTTTTCAAGATTAGCGTGTCAGAGTGAATTGGAACTAGCCTGTCGGAGATCGAAACGGCTCTTATCTACATTGGACACAACATTCAAACGCTGTACGACTGCGGCTCACTCGTCGTCGTCGCTATCCGCCGCATGCTGCCGCATGTGCTGCCGCCTTGTCATGTGATGCAGCGCGGTATTGCCGGCCTCAATTGCCAGGAACAGCGCCCGCATGCGATGCGCGGACCGGATCGCAACCGCAACCTCGTCGTACCTCTTCCGAGCCGCCCAAGTTGCGGCGTCGAACGGCCCCTGCCCGCCGCAGGAGGAGGTCATCGGTGGCACGCCTGCCGGGGTCGCGTCGGCGCCGAGGGAGAGGAGCAGCTCGACGAGCTCGAGGTGGCCGCACCACGCCGCCATCAGCAGGGGCGTGAAGCCGCCCGCGTCCTTGATCTCCGCCATCGGACACGAGCCGAGCGAGAGGGTGCCCTGCAGGACGGCGCCGGGATCGCCGCAGGCGCCTCTTGAGTTGTGCAGCCTCGTCACGACCTTTGGAGCTCGGTCGAGCAGCAACTTTGCGCACGCTAGCCTGCCAAACCTGCACGCGGCGTGCAGCAGCGTGGCGTGCCCGCGGCGCGCGGCTGGGTCCAAGATGTGACCCGCCGGGATGGCGGGCTCCTTGTCGATCTCGCGGCGCAGCTTGGCGGCACAGTCGCGCTGCCGCATGAGCTCTATCACCGTCATGGCGCGCGCGTCCCACTGGGCGAGACGAGCGACGCGCTGGGCCCGGCACGCGCTGATAAAGGTCTGACGCAGATCCGCCTTGGAGCGGAGGGCGCGGGAGGACCGCGGCATCTGGACGCCGCGGGCCAAGCCGAGTGTGTGCCAGAGCTCTGCGCGAGAGCCGTCAAGTCGCCAGTGCTTGCACACCGCAGCGAGCGCCGCGATCTCGGCGGCCGCCAGCGGCGCAAGCACGAGCGCGAGCGGTCCATCGGGAAGGTCAGCGAGTGGAAGGGAGCACATCATGGAGAGAAGAGCCGAACAACACAAAGAGAAGGAGGACTGCGGGCGCCACGCCCGCGCCCTAGGCTCGGCAGGAGCGAACAAGAAGAAAAATTCTCGATCTCGATTTCTTCTGCAACACGCCCGCTCGTTGACTGCCTCGAGCCTCCGCGGGCGCCGTCACGGAACGCACACCTGCTCAGGAGCACCACCGCTGTTGTCCCATGACGCACGCCTCGAGGATCGTGGACGCGCTCTACCCGCCGCCAGCAGCAGAGGGTGACGGCGAGGAAGTCGAGGCCGCCGAGGCTGCCGCTCAGGCGCAACGGCGCACTGACGCGGCTGCACTGCTCGGCGAAATCACGTTCAAGCTGCTGACGGCGCAGCAGCAGCAGGTGTCTGTCCGTCCGCATCCCTTCGTCGAGCCGCGAGACTCGATCGAGACGGCCGAACTCGTATCTGCGACGCTCGGCGCCGGCGACTCGCAGCAACGCGTGCTTCTCGCCTTCACCTCGCGGCGAGCGGTCACCTCGCCTCTGGCCACGACCGCGGTTCATCTGCTCAACATCACCGACCAGGGGCGCTACCAGCCCGTGCTCTCGACCGGACTTTTCCGTGGCCAGTACACGCTTCTCAGCCGGCTGACGTATGCCGGAACGGCGGCTCTGCACAAGATGATCACTCGCAGCGGCCTGAAGGTCGGGTCGGTGCGCTCTGACATGCTCAAGCTGCTCGTCGTGGGTGCCAAGGCGCGAGCTGACGAGGATGCGCCCGTCCCGATGGCCGTCGAGGCTGTCGCCGGACCCTCCTCCTCCGCCTCCACCTCCGTCGCGGTCGCTGCCACGGGCGCCGTCGCTGCCGGCGCACGCGAGAACCTCACGGCGTTTGCAAAGCAGCTCGCGACCGTGTTGCAGACCGCCCGACCTGCGCCCTCCGTCTTCGAGACGCGACCAGCTGAGGCTGCAAGGACGAAGCCGATCGGCATTGCCTCAAACGTCGGCCTGCTCCTCTGGACCCCCAAGACAGCCTCGGCATCGAAGCAAACCGCCGGCGTCCGGACCACCGAGGCGCTCGCGTATCCTCGGGCGCCATGACCAGTGAGGATCGCCACACACCGCGAATCTAACCCTTAGGCGACGAAGCTGGTCATCAGGGCCATCGAGGAGCTGGCACCCAAGAGCAAGGCGACGCCGCGCAAGGAGGGCTTCAAAATGGCGGCCGCGCTTGAGACACCGATCGAGTTTGACCCGACGGCCGGCTGGTCCGGCGACTGCGGCCTGGTCGACATCATCTCGCCGGACTCGTTCGTGCACGTGCTGTCGTTCACCGACCACCACACGCGCGCCGTCTGGACGGAGCTCGTCTGCAAGTCTTTCCGTGCCTTGCGCGGCGAGCCCACGCTCTGGGCCTCGCTGCGCCTCTCCGACTCGACGCGCCGCAGGTACGTCTCAGAAGACAAGCGCAAGCTTGGCCCGTGGAAGTGCAAGGCGGAGCACTGGGCCAACATCGTCGCCTCGAAGGCGTCGTGCCTCACTGCGCTCGACCTGAGCGGCAACGACAAGGCGCCGCTCACCGCGCTCAAGGCATGCCTGCGCGCTGCGCCGCAGAACCTCCGCTCGCTCGATCTCGACGGCGTCGCCTCGGCCAACATCAAGACGCTCGCAGAGATCGAGCGCTTCACCGAGCTCGAGACGCTCTGTCTCAACTGTTCTCACCCGAAGGACGGCTTCGGCGACGAGGGCGAGAGCGTCATACGGCTCGTCAAGGGTCTCCCGCGGCTGCAGCTGCTTCGCGTGCAGCCCTTCACGGCTTTTGGCTCCTTCCTCGGCGATTGGGACTTTGTCGCTGGAATCAAAGAGTTTCGCGACGAGCACCTGGCGCGCTGTGCGCAGTTCGGCGTAAACCCTTACCGGGAACCGAGCGGCTCGGGCTTCGAGGACGAGGACGAGGACGAGTACGTCTCCAACGAAGTGCTCGCCGGCCAGGCTCGCCTCAAGCGGCTGCAGGAAGCGCTTCCTCGCTGCTGCCGGCTGACCAACTCGGGCTACCTGTCGGGCTACTTCCTCACATACCGGTGGGGCGAGCCGCCAACCGACGAGCCGGTGTGGCACGTGTGGTACTCGGAATTGTACAAGCGCATGACCGAGCCGGGCGCGAAGCGCGGCACCAGCTACCTGCAGTGCGGCCCGCTGGAGGAGGGCGAGGCTCGACGCCACAAGACGTACGGAGAGTGGCTCTCGGCGAACAAGCCAACCGAGGCGCTCAAGCCGGCGGGCCCCGTCATCTCGACGTGAGAGCCTCGGCTCGTGCTGCCTGACGGGGCTTGCGCATCTCGAGTCATTCTCCGAGCTGCTCGTTGGGACGTTGCGTTGGGGAGCGAACATGCGTGTGGAGCGGCAGCGGGGCTGCGGAGCGTACACTCACGAACACGTCGCACGCACGCCACGCCCCTGGCCTGCTGTGGCCGCGGCCCGCAGTGCGCCAGCGGCAAGCGCGAGCGAGTGCTGAGTTGTGCAGACACTGACGTGACAGCGCTGACATCCTATCTGCTATCATGCATCCGCGCCATCTGCCCCCCCGCCCTCTGAGGACTTTGTCTTTGTACTTTGAGAGCTCTCCGGACTGGGACTCCAACGCGCGCAACGGACCACGCCCCGCGCGCGACTCGCTCGTGTCTCTTTTGTACTGGATGGTGCGCGCCCACAGCGCCACGGGCGCTTGTGTCCTGTGCGTGCTGTGAGTGTTAGCGCCTGTGAGCGGCCTGTGTTTCGAGTTCGTTTGACAGATGACACAAAATTTGCAATGGGTCGACTGTGTTGAGCGCGTCGAGTTCAGCCACCGTCCCAGCGCAGCTGCAGCCCCAGCCGTGCCAGCGCCGCCTATAGGTGTGACAGCCAGCGGGCTGAGAGCATGCCACGCACAGAACCCTCCCCCCTCCCCCCCTCCCCCCCGCCCACCTCGAGCCTCTGCGACGAATCGTTTGGCTCTGTCGGCCGCAACGCGAGCAGGAGGCGCCGCAGGGGCACCGCGCCGCCGCCCGCCGCTCCATTGACCGCAACGAGCAGCTTCGCCGCCTGCTCCTCGTCCGGAGGCGGATCGCACACGCGGCAGAGGGCGAGCCGCAGCGCGCGCGCGTCGTAGTGCCGATCCAGGTGCGCCTACTCTCGGGCAGTCTCGGATAGTCTCTCGGGGTAATCTCGGGTAATGTCAGCGCGAAGTAGCGCCGGACAGGATGCGCCCGGAGCATTAACACGGGGGTCGGGGGGGGCGGGGGGGGGGCGGGAATTGGTCTCGCGCATTATGTTCCGAGGCGCCGCGCGAACGCACGTTCTCGGGTGCTGCTTGGAGCACAAGGATGCGTTACTGTCTGACGTGCCCTCCACATCTAGAGAGCGTGTGCCTCCCGAAGCAATGCGCCGCCCCCCCTCGCGGTCGACGTCGGCGCGGCGGCGGCGGCGGCGGCCGCCGCCGCCGCCTCGACTCGCAGCTGCAGGTCGCCGCCCGCGGCGGCGGCGGCCGTTGCGGCGGCGGCGGCGGCGGCGCGCGGCGAGAGCACACCGAGGACTGCGAGGTGGCTGTGAGTGAGCCGCGTCCCTTCGAGCGCCCGTCCGAGCCACGCCGCCCGCTCCGCCTCGCGCTCCTCCCTGACGGCGGCTCGGAGCGACCCCTGCAGGGCCCGCCGGGAGGCGCGTGGGAGTAACGACATGAGAGGTTTGCGAGCTGACTGGCTTGTGGCTCACGCCTGCGGGTCCGCCGAGAGGAGCGTCTCGTCTAGCTGGTTCATGAAGTCGTTCGACTGCCAGAGAGCGGGCCCGCACGTGCCGATGATCTCATACACGGCACCGACGTCCTCGGCGCGCCTCAGCCGCTTCTCGAGCCGCGCGAGCAGCGTGAGCGCCGCAGCGTCAAGCGTGCTGACGCCGCCGCCGCAGAGAGTGTGGTCCCACAGCCGCAACAGCGTGGGTGTGGGCAGCACGTTGGTGAAGAGGCAGAGGAACCTGGTGGTAGAAATGAGGACGCAATCACCACGCGAGGAGGACGCAGCGGCTGGCCGAGAAGCGGAGGGACCACTGCGACGCCAAGATCTCGACTATATCTCGACTATATCTCGACTATATCTCGGCTACATCTCGGCTAGCGGAGGGACCACTGCGACGCCAAGATCTCGACTATATCTCGACTATATCTCGGCTACATCTCGGCTAGCGGAGGGACCACTGCGACGCCAAGATCTCGAGCGGGACCTGAGAGGGGTCAGTCGTCCGCACGTCAGAACATGCCGCGTCACTCGTCCGGACTTCGCGCGCGGCGGTCGGGCGGGGCCTCGATCCGCTGGAAGTGGGCGTGCAGCTCGGGCAGCGCCGCCTTGAACAGCGTCGCGAAGGCGCGCGTGTCGATCGAGAGACCTGCTCGCAGACTGCCGCGTCACAGCTCTCCCGCCCACGGCTCTCGGGCTCACCGGCGAGTCTGTCGGGCGGCCCGTCATCTGCAGGGTGTAGCAGTCGGGCAGCACGCTGCGGCAGATTGCGTCGAGCAGCCAGAAGGCTCCCTCCTCCCCCGCCTATCGCTCCACCAGTCCATCCGTCAGAGAGGCTGCTCCTTGGCTGTCCGAATGCGCCCGCCTCGCCCCGCGCCACAAGCAGCAGCATCGCGGCCACGAAGTTGAGCGACTGGCAGTAGCCGACGGCGGGGTCGTGGACGGCGTACGCGAGGAGCACGCGCCTGGTCACGGAAAGGTCATGGAAAGGTCATGGAAAGGTTGTGGAAAGGTGGAGAGGTCATGGAAAGGTCATGGAAAGGTCATGGAAAGGTTGTGGAAAGGAAAGGTCATGGAAAGGTCGTGGAAATGGAAGGCCGTGGGAAGGCCGTGGGAAGGTCGTGGCGTGTCATGGAAGTGTCTCGAGTGGCGGCAAGGCGCGGGGCGCACGCCTCAGCGCCGCGCGCGCAGGCCCGCTGCGCCGGAAGAGCGGGTGGGTGGGGAAAGTGCGCGGCAAGTCCGACTCCACTTGCTTTGCGTCGGGCAGCGCCGCGGCGGAGGTCATCTCGACGAGCGTGGCGTAGCTGCGCTGCGCGGTGTGCATGCGGCGGGCGGCGCCGGTCGCGCTCAGCCACAAGTGAGGCCGCGCCTGAGAATAGTGCGGCTGTGAGTAGTGCAGCTGTGAATGGGCGCTCCGCCACACGTGAGGCCGCGCGCCTGGGGTTGGGGTCGGGGTGCCGGGGTCAGGGTCGGGGTCAGGGTTTAGGGTCGGGGGGGGGTGGGGGGGGGTCAGGGGCCAGAGCTCGGGGTAGCTACGAGTGGCGGTGACGCCTCGGGAGGGACTCGAGACATCCGCGACCGGCCGAGCGCCACGACCCACGGAGGCAGCCTGCCGCCCCACGCGCTGCCGCGCACCGCCGCCGCCCACCTCTCCCTCCACAGCTTGAGGTCGGCCTGGCTGAGGCGGTGGCTCGCGCGGTACGCCTGTTCACGGCCCGAGACCTGTGAAAGCGCCGCCTGCTGCTTGAGGGACGGTGGCTCGCGCGGCGCCTCGGCGTGAGCCTCCCGCACGCAGAAGCCGTACTCGTCGAGCGTCTCGTCAAACGTCTCCTCCACCGTCTCCACCCCCCCGCCTAAGGGGCGGCTCCGACAAGGCTCAGGGGAGGTTCCTCCTCCTAGACCGTCTCCTCGCCCTCGCCCGCGCCCGCGCCGCCGCCGCTACCTGCGGCACCGCCGTCGGCGCCGCCTCCAGAGGCTGAAGCGCGAGCCACCACGGCCGCTGCCGGCCCGCCCCCCTCCCCTCCTCCTCCCTCCTCGCCGCCCTCCCAAGAAGCGGTCGAGACGAGGAGGGGCGAGGAAGGCAGCGCCGCCCCCGCCGCCCCACCGCCCTCCTCCTCCTCCGCCACCTCGCCCGCCGTCGCCCGCCGCTCGTCCCGTACTCTCCTCATCGCCTCCTGCACCTGGCGCGTGCTGTCCGCACCCTCCGCCGCATACTCGACCGCGGAAGGTGCGCCGCTACACTCGCCGCCCGCCTCGTCGATCGCCGACAGCTCACCTCCACTCCCTCCTCCGTCGCTGCCTCCGCCTCCGCTGCCTCCGCCTCCGCCGCCTCCGCCGCCTCCGCTGCCTCCGCTGCCACCGCCTCCGCCGCCTCCGCCGCCTCCGCCGCCTCCGCTGCCTCCGCCTCCGCCGCCTCCGCCGCCTCCAGCGCCGGCAGCGGCACCGTTCCCTCCCCCGCACGCGGCGCCGCCGTGCGACGCGTCGCTCAGCGCCCACAACGTCATCGTCACGACGGCAAAGGCGCCCTCGCCCACCGACGCGGCCCCCGTCCCGCCCGCGCCGTCAACGCCGCCGCCGCCGCCGCCGCAACCGCCGCCACAACCGCCCGCCGCCCGCTCGGCTGCCGCTCCGCCTCCGTTCGCCTCCGCCGCCCGCGCCCGCAGCGCGGCGGTGGCGCCGCTCTTCGCGGCGCGGCGAGGCGTCGCCTGCCTCGGGGGGCAGCACTTCATCCATGAGGGAGCGAGGGTCGGACGCGTCTGCTCATTGGGGACGAGAGCCTGCGAGTGGTGCTGCCCCGGGCGAGGGACGGCCGCAGCGGCGCAGCGGCCACCCCTCCCGGCCTCCTCGTCGGCCGACCCCGCCCCCTGCCACGCCCCGCCGCCGCCGAGGACCAGGACGACTGTGCGGTCCGTCGCGGGGCGGAGCTCGACGGCGATTCGAGCCCCTCCGACAGCTCCGCCCGCCCCTCTGCCCGCCCCTCTGCCCGCCTCCCGCCCCTCCTGCGCCTCCCGCCCCTCCTGCGCCGCCTGCGCCGCCTGCGCCGCCTGCGCCGCCTCCGCCGCCTCCGCCCCGGCCCCGGCCAGCGCGGAGGGCGGCAGCAGCGGGAGGGAGCGAGGGGCGGAGGAGGGGCGGGCGCGTGGTGCCGACGGGGTGGGCGGGCGGGCGTCAGGCACCTGCAGCGTGTGGAGGGGCGGGGGGGTGGAGAGAGGAGGGGTGAGGCGGTGCCGACGGGGCGGGCGGGCGGAGGGAAGGGGGGGTGAGGAGGCGGGCGGGAGTCGGAAGAGGACGAACCTCCCACTCGTGAACGCACGACGCGGCGGGCGGGCGGAGCGGCAGCCGCACGGAGACGGCCGCGCCGCTGCTGGCCGAGAGGTGCCTAAGAAGGAGCGCTGTGAATCAAGGGGGAAGACAACCGCCGAGTTGGCGCTGCCGGCGGAGGAGTGACTCGAGCGAGACACGGCCGATGCCCACGCACTCCGCCTATTCAGTGAGCTGAGGAGTCATCCACGAGTTGCTCAGACACGGCCGATGCCCACGCCCTCCGCCTCGGGGACGGAGACGCCGCCGCCGGCGGCAGGGGGCGGGGAGAGCGCCGCCGGGGAGGGGGAGGAGGGGGAGCCGGGGCTGCTGTAGCTGCCGCACGCGGGCGGCGGTGCCGTGCGCATCAGCATCAGCTCGAGGGTGGGCTCGCCTAATCGGAGCGCGCCGAACGAGGTGTGAGCTGACGCCACCCCTTCCGCATCACCGCATCACGGCTCGGAGGGCGGTTCGCCGCCACTGGGCACTCTCCACCAAGAGCGGTGCCGGCAGCTCGGCATCGACCCGCCGCCCTCTCCTCCGCCCTCGCCGCCCTCTCCTCCGCCGCCCTCTCCTCCGCCCTCGTGCCACCAACGCGGTGTGGCCGCCTCGGCGTCGCACGCGCGCCCGTCGCCGCAAAGCAGCCGCACGTGCCACCAGCACCTGTTCGCGGCTGGAGGCGTGGCGAGAGGGGAGCTTGGAAGTGCGGCCCCCTAGCGTGCTATCCAGCGCCAGCAGTTAGCTGATGCGGCGGCGTCGAGCCTCGTGGCGCCCGCCGCGAGCGCGCCCGGCGTGCGAGGCGCCTCGAGTGCCGAAGCAGCCTAAGGGGGAGGCCCGCTCCGAGCAGGTCCATGGAAGGGTCCCGAAAGAGTGTCGCTGTCGAAGGCTTGGACGGCGCCGCGGCGAGAGCGGCCAGCACGGAGGAGCCGTCGCCCCTCGGCGCAGTACTCAGCAGCGGCGCGATCGACGTCGGCAGGAGCTCTAGATGTAGCAGAGCAGCGGGCGAGACGGCCGCCATCTCGTGCAGCGCCTAGGGCGGCGGCAGAAGGTCGACTCGCCGCGTGGCCGGCGAGCCCGTGGCCGGCGAGGCGCGACCACTGCGGCAAGAGAAGAGAAGAGAAGAGAAGAGAAGTGAGCCGCGGGGCCGCGCCTGCACTGACGCGCTGTTGTGCTCGCGCAACGGCCCGCCGCTCGCTTGCGCAACCATCTCCGCGAGCGAGGGGAGGCGGCGCAGGAAGGAGGCGATGCCTAGGCAGACCTCGAGACGGGTGGCGAGGGCGCGCGATCACAGGGCGGCGGCAGCGAGGAGGCGATGCCGGAAGGGCGGGCCCCGCCCGGCTGAGCCACAGCACGTCTCCCGCCTCCTCCGGCAGCGCCTCCGCCGCCGCCGCCGCCGCCTCCGCCTCCGCCGCCGCCGCCGCCGCCTCCGCCTCCGCCGCCGCCGCCTCCGCCGCCGCCGCCTCCGCCGCCGCCGCCGCCGCCTCCGCCTCCGCCGCCTCCGCCGCCGCCCCCACCTCCGCCGCCCCTGCCGCCGCCCACCGCACCGCCAGCGGCGGCGCCTCCTCTTGCGCCAGCGGCGGAGACGTCTCCGTTTCTGTGCTGCCGGCCGGTGCGGAGCTCTTGGCCGGGCGGCGGCTGCTCGCCCGCCGTCCTGCTGCGCTCCTTTGGCGGCACGAGAGGCGCCAGCGACAGAGGCGCCGCGACGAATGCGCCGCCGTGCCTCGGTTGGCCGTGCCTCGCCTGGCCGTGCCTCGACGCGAGGAGCAGGCTGCCTGCCCCCGCGGCGGCGGAGGCGGAGGCGGGCAGCGCGCTGTGCGGCGGCAGGGCGGGCGGTGGCTGCGGCGGCGGAAGCGACGCGGTGGGTGCGAAGTCGAGGGGAGGAGGGTGTGTGGCTCCTCCCTCCGCCCCGCCCCCGCACCCCCTCTCCGAGAGCGGGACGATGTGCGGACTCCTGCTCCGCTCCTCTGCCACCCGCTCCTCGGCCACCCGCTCCTCCAGCACCCACCACTCCTCGTCCCGCAGCTCCTCGCCTGCGCCGGACGCGTCACGGACGTGTCTCGGACGTGTCTCGGACGCGTCACGGACGTGTCTCGGACGTGTCTCGGAGGGGGGCGGATCCTCCTCGCGCAGCTACTCGCCTGCAAGGGCTCGCGGCCCCGCCGGGCTTGGCTGCAGCCATGGGTCCGCCTCCGCCTCCGCCTCCGCCGCTGCGGCGAGCGCTGCAGCCACAGCCTCCTCCCTCTCCTCCTCCTTCTCCTCCGCCGCCGCCTCCGCCCCCTCGTCCGCCCCCTCCCCTCCCCTCTCCTCCGCTCTCTCCGCGCCGCCGTCCGCGCCGCCGTCCGCGCCGCCGCTCGAGGCGGCGACAGAGGACAACGCGGGCGATGACGCGGGCGATGCCGCGGGCGATGCCGCCGCCTCTCCGCCGCCGCCGCCGCCAGCCGTCTCCGCGCGAGGCTGCGGCGCCGCGCCTGCCCTCCCCGCCACGCTCGCCTCCGCGTCTCGCCGCGCGTCGAAGGGTCGCCCCTCCCCGGCGGGTCCGCCCGCCGCCTCGCCGCCCGCCGCCTCGCCACCCGCCGCCTCGCCGCCCGCCGCCTCGCCGCCCGCCGCTGCGCCGCCCGCCGCCTCGCCGCCCGCCGCCTCGCCGCCCGCCGGTGCGCCGCCGGTGCGGTCCGGGCGGGGGGGAGTCCGCGCCTCGTCCGGGAGGCCGACAGGTAAGGGGTAGGGTTCGGGTACTGTGGGGGTAGGGGAGATAGTCCGCGCCTCGTCCGGGAGGCCGGAGGGCGGGGGAGGGAGGCCGAGGGCGGCGAGGGCGGAGAGGGGGGTCGCCGCGCGGGGAGGCGTCGAGATCGGGGGCGGCGCCGGGCGCGGCGTCATCCCCAGCGCCGCCAGAGCCGCGAGGGGTGGCTGCGACGCCTTCTGCGGCGGGGGAGCGTGACGGGCGGCAACACGCGCACCGCCGCCGCCGCCGCCGCCGCCGCCGCCGCCGCCGCCGCCCCAGATAGGCGCCTGGAGCGCCGCCGGCCGCGGCCCATCCTGCAGCAGCGGCTGCGGCGCCTCTGCCGAGGCGGAGGCGGCGGCGGCGGCGCTGGCGGCGGAAGTGGCTGTGCCAAAGGCGGCGGGTGTGGTGCCTGCCGCCTTCTTGAGCTGCGCCAGGAGGCTGGTTGCGGCGGACCAGCCTCGCTCCGCCGCACGGCCACGCCCCTCGCACCCTCCCCTCCCCGCCACCCTGCCGCCCGCGCCGCCCGCCACCTCGCCGCCCACGGTGCCGCCCGCGCCGCCCCCGTCTTGCGGGCCGGGAGCGCTGCTGTGCGCAGTTCGCCTGCGCTGCTCGTCGTCGCCGCACGGCTCCTCAGACACAACCTCGAAGCCGCCGCTCGTGCGCGCCTCGCGGCTCGCCGCCGGCCTTTCCTCCCCCTCTCCTCCTCCCCCTCCCCCCCCTCCTCCTCCTCCTCCCCCTGGATCGTCCCCGCCGACAGCGCGGCTGCTGCCTCCGGCGACAGCGCCCTCTCCCGCGCCGCCCGCACCACCGCCGCCGAGCCGGCTGCGCAGCCAGCCCGTCGCGCTCGTGAGCGTCTGCTGCAGCTGCGGAGGCAGCGGAGGCGGCGCGCCGTCTGCGGGCGGCGGAGCCTGCTCGGCCGCCCGCGCCGCCTGAAAGACGACGGTGCGCCCGTCCTGCAGGCCGCCGTCGGCGCGGAGCGTGCCGTCTCGCTTAAGCACGTCGACCACCTTTGCACCGCGTGCCACGCTCACGCCGTTCACCGAGAGGATCGTGTCTCCCGGCTGGAGCTTGCCGTCCGCTGCGGCAAGGCCGTCTGCGTCCAGCCGCACCACCCGGTTGGCGTCGTTGAGGTGCAGGCCGAAGCGAGCGCCGGGGCAGATCGTCAGCCGGACGGTGTACGCGTGCTGCTGGAGCGTCGCGCCAGCCGCGCTTGACTCCGAGGCGGCCATCGGAATGGGCAAACCGGCCGATAGCTGCTAGCAAGCAGCCAGAGTCGATCGAAGAAGAATTTACCCCACCGCAAAGCACGAAAAAACCCGGAGAGTTTCAAGTGAGTCCTGCAGCGAACAATTGGTCCCAATTGAACGAAACGGAGGACTGAGAAAAAACAAAAAGGAGAAAAACAAACATGGCGTCGCACTCCAGCAAGCGCTCCCGCACAAAGAGCGACGGCACCGGCGAGGAGGAGGGCGAGCCCGCGGCAGTCGCTGCCGGCTTCGAGGCGCCCATCTTTGGCGCGCGCACCGTCGGCCAGGTCACCACGCTGGCGCTCGAGGGCGAGGACGGACTTCTGGCGTCCCTCGATCTGCGCGGCGTGAAAAGCGTTCACGCGGGTGCCTGGTTCGTCGCGACTAAGGACTCGTTGCTGCACGTCTCGGCGGCCAGGCGCGTGCGCACCGTGGCAACCTGCAAAGGCGGCCATTTCTTCGGCATCGCCACCAGCCTGGACGTCAGCGCGCTGTTTGTGTCGGACATCGGCAACCACAAGATCCGGCGGGTGGAGGTGGCGACGGGCGCGGTGACTACGCTCGCGGGCAGCGGCGCCAGGGGCAGCGCTGATGGCGTGGGCGACGCGGCGCAATTCAAAAACCCAATTATCCTTTCCGTCAGCGCCGACGGCAGCACCCTCTCGATCTGCGACAACGGCGGCCTCCGCCAGGTCTGCGTGGCGGCACCTCCTCCTCCCTCCTTCGCGCCGCTCGTGGTTCCGCCCTCCACCTTCTTCGCCGACATGGGGAAGATGTGCGGCGACGCTACTCTGCCCCAGGGCATGGTCACTTTCCTGGTCGGCGACGACGAGGAGCGCTACGAGCACGTCACAAAGGCCATCCTCTGCGTGCGGTCCGTGTTCTTTCGGACAATGTTTGGCATCGGCATGAAGGAGCGCGACGCTGCCGAGGTCACGGTGCCCAATGCCGACCTCGCCAGCTTCACCGCCCTCGTCCGCTACCTCTGCACCGACCAGCTCGACCTCGGCGAGGGGGAGGGCGAGCAGGCGCGGCGCGCGCTCGTGCTGCGGCAGCTGGCGCAGATGTACCAGGTGCCGCGCCTCGAGCTGCTCTGCGCGCAGGCGCTGCAGGAGCGCGTCGGACCGGCGAGCGCCGTGCCGCTGCTGGAGGCGGCGCACACGACGGGCGACGGGCGGCTCCTCGCGCAGTGCCGCCGCTTTGTGGCCGACCACGCCGCCGAGGTGCGCGCAAGCGGCGGCGTGGAGCAGCTGCGCGACCTGGGCGTGGCCAAGGGGCTGCTCGGCGACGCGCTCGACCAGGTGGCGGAGCTGGAAGGCGCGATGCGCGCGCTCCGCGTCGCGAAGGATTAAGCAGCGCGCGCATCGCGCCTTGCAAGGGCCGGTGAGCACCATTGGAGAGAGAGAGACTCTTCTTGCACATTGGTGAGTTTTAATTCTATTTTTTTGCCGGGAGTCGCTTACCCTACGGCTTAGGCGGCTTCCCGTGGCGTACCTGTTTAGTGCGAGTGCGCGCAAATTCCGTGCCCAGTGTCGTTTGATTGATTGATAGGAAGGCGGCTTAATCAAATTCTTTTTTGCACGACACTGAACAGACAACGTGTGAGTGTTAGAGTTGTTTGGTATTGCCCAAAAGACGAAAGAGGGATGGGGCTTGGGGGTAGGGGGAGGAGGACAGGGTCCACACCTGCACGAGCAGGATTTTGGAAGGAAATCAGGGGATAGAGACAACAGACTCGCAGCGGGTATTCCATTCTTTTTTTTCTCGGACGCCTCTTCGATCGGCGCCCGATCCACCTTGTGGCATGAAGATCCTATTCTCCGCAGTGTTCAAGCCTGGCACCGAGGCGCCCGGCAAGGACGGCCCTGTCATGCTATCGCAGGCCGCCGAGCTCTCCTCCCTCGGCTTCTTCCAGCGCAGTACCGCGAAGGAAGTCTTTGTCATGTTCTCGCGGCAGTTTGCAAAGGCGTCCACGGAGCCAGGGCAGCGCTCGTCCGTCCGGAAGGACGGGTACATGAGCCACGTGTACCACTCGCCCATGGGCGTCGTCGCCGTCTGCTTCGCTGACGACGAGTGCGCGCCCGCACCGCCGCCGCCGCCCCACCCCACAGCGCCCTCTCACACCTCTCACACAGCTGGAGATGGGGTCGGAGGGCCGCCGCAGCGAGGAGAGGAGGCGCAGCGAGGCGGAGGGTGGGCGACTGGCCCGTGCTGCCGCGGCCGCGGTGCCGCGAAGCGCGCCGCGGTAGCGCGAGTACAGAGCGGCACCGCTAGAGCACAGAGAACGCTCCTTGCACCTCCTCCTCCTCCTCCTCCTCCTCCAACACACGCTGAGAGGAGGATCCGGACGGAGTCGCTTGGGTAATAGGACATCCGGTCCGGCAGCCGGTGCAGCCCGTTGTAAAATCACACGTGACCGTTGAGCACGAACGAGGGGGGCGCCCATCGCTAAGCGTCTGAGAATGGGGGCAGCGCCTTCCACTCGTCCGCGTCTGGA